ACCTATCACCTATCAGGAACTCAGCTCGGACCACTACCCGGTGGTGACTGAGGTGGGATCCTCCGTAAATCGATTTGAAGCTTTCCGGCGCAACTATCATCGTGTTGACTGGGGTCAGTTCCAACATTGCGTCGACACCGCTGTAGACTACGATGTCCAACCGGAATCGTCCGAAGATGTTGACCGGTGTCTGCGCTCCATCGATCAAGCAATTTCCCGGGCCAGGGAGCTACATGTGCCAGTATCCAGACAGGTGAGTAATACTCAGAACCTTGACAGGACTACTAAAGACCTCATTAGACTCCGCAACACGATTCGTAGGCAGTACCAGCGTACTGGGCTGCCTAACCTGAAGACCAATTGCAACCGTTTGAACAAAATCATCCAAGCCAGGATGGTGGATCTCAGAAATATCGATTTTGCAAACAAGATTCGCTCTCTCCCAGATTGTGCTAAGCCATTCTGGAAAATGGCAAAGATTTTGAAAAATAAGCCGAGGCCCATTCCTCCCCTTTCCTCTCCTAGCCAAAATTCGGACCCATCTTTACTAATAACCCCATTTGAAAGGGCCAATGCTCTTGGACAACACTTTGTAAATTCACATAACCTTGGCCACGCCATGGTGAGTCCCCACGAGCCTGCAGTATCACAGGCAATGGCTAGTGTCGCTGCCACCCCCGTAGTTGTCCCTGACGAAAGTAGAATATCGGCTGATAGCAGCGATTAAATCAACAAAGAACATGAAGGCCGCTGGTGTCGATGGAGTGGTCAACCTCGAGCTGAAAAACTTGAGTGTTGACTTCTTCAAGCACCTTGCAGTGGTCTTCAACAAGTGTTTAATGCTTGGCTACTTCCCTGCATGCTGGAAGTTAGCCAAAGTTATTCCAATTCACAAACCTGGCAAATACCCTACCAGTGCCAAAAGCTATCGCCCCATCAGCCTCTTGTCCTCCATCTCGAAGCTATTCGAAAAATTGATACTCAGCCGTCTGCTGGTGTTTTCAAATGATAATAACATCTTTCTCAAAGAGCAATTCGGGTTTAAGAGCCACTCTACCATCCACCAACTCGCACGGGTTACTAACATCATCAAGTGGAACAAGTCCGTTTCCAATACATCTGCCATGGCATTGTTGGACGTCGAGAAGGCGTTCGACAATGTCTGGCATGATGGTCTAGTGTACAAGCTGCATCGATACAACTTTCCGAACTTCCTCGTGAAGATCATCAAAAACTACTTGTCGGGCAGATCATTCCAGGTCTACTTGAACAATGTCCCCTCTGATACGTTCAACGTTGATGCAGGGGTCCCTCAGGGTATCCTGCTTGGGCCTATACTATTCAAAAATTTCACGTCAGACGTTCCTCCCCTGCCGGGTGGTGGTATCCTGTCTATGTTCGCAGATGACACCTCCATCATCTATAAGGGTCGAGTGATCCGTGCTCTGGCGAGTAAACTACAATCAGGCCTGGATGTTTTGTCCGACTATTTTAAGAGCTGGAAGATTTGTATCAATGCAGCTAAAACACAAACCATTCTGTTTCCACATTCGTATTCACCTCGGCTTGTTCCGCCTGCTAACGTCAGGATCCATCTTGATAGCACTCCCATTGATTGGTCGAGTGAAGTAGTCTACCTTGGTCTCACCCTCGATAGCAAATTGCTATTCCGATCCCATGTGGACAAGACATCCACCAAGTGTAACATCTTGATCAGGTCGCTCTACCCTCTGATAAACAGGAAGTCCACCCTGTCCCTCAAAAACAAGCTTGCTGTCCACAAGCAAATCATTCTGCCGGCTATTGAGTATGGTATGCCAATCTGGGAGAGTTGTGCAAAGTGTCATCACTTAAAGCTTCAGAGGATCCAAAACAAGATCCTCAGAATGATCCTTAACAGTCCACCGCGAACTCGTAATTCTGAGATTCACCACCTGGCCGGTCTTCAAATACTCGAGGAGCGAAAGACTTCCACGCTGGAAAGGTTCAGAGTCGCCTGTCTGCGATCAAACCACCAGATCATTCGTGATTTGGCAACCTAGTATAAGTAGTTAGGTGCTCAAGTAGGTAGGTTATCAAATTTTTTAAATTCAAACCAAAACAATCCCACAAAGGGTATCCTGTAAATTAACGCTAAACGCAATCATCACATTAGAATAACCAATTAACTAGAACAAAGATGAAGAGCCAAAGGCTAACCAATTGAAATTTTAAATCAAATGTTGAAACATAAAAACCCAGAAAATAAACGTAAATTTTACTACTACTACTACTGCCTCTGCTCATTACCGCTTCAGACGGCGTGGCACTTGGTCCTGCAGCAAGCAGGAGCAAGTCAGCGGATTAAGGTGGATCATGGCGTGACCACCTACCACAATGAGGAAATGAGGAACTTGGAAAAGTTATACATGCAAAACACCCCACATAATTTACGATAAAGAATAATAGTCAATATTGCATGGTTCTAAGTCATACTGAGGTCGTGTATAGGACACAACCCTTTAGTTTTTTTTACGTAGGACTACGTCTGTGATTTCTATATGGGGACCACTTTGTGAAAACCGAAAATGGAACATGTAACTAAATTATGAAAGATTTTGAACGTTAATTACTCAGCTGCCCCTGAACCAATTTTAATAATTTTATCACCAATCGATCAGAAATAATTCACCGCATCTGTTGAATTTAAGACTTTATCAATTTTCAAAATTTCACTTTTGAAAATAGTACGAATGTACACTTGTTGCTATGATAATTAAAATTATCACCGATTGCCTGCGAAAAGCGATTTCGCTGACACAGATTTCAAAGTTGAATTCCATCCGGTCTCACCAAACGGTGTTTATTCAATCACCGCGTGGTGAGTAATCGTGCTCTTCAGTACACAACGAAAGGCTCCCCGCAAGCAGTTAGCTATCAAGGCTGCGTTCAACCGCTGATCGAATTCAGTCCAATCACCGTGTGTGGTGGTGTCCGGGCGTCGACGAATCAGCCGCAGCAGTGCTTTCAGCGCGTTGCGTTCAACATTGTTCTCCAGTACATAACGAAAGGCTTCCTGCAAGCAGCGAGCTGCAGCCCACATGAGCATCCATAGAAGGAGAAAGAAGCCGCACCGCTATTGATCGGAATCGGTAGCTCTTCGTGAGTCGATGTGGACCATCTTTGTCAAGCACGTCATGCGTAAGAGTATTAACAGAAAGAACCCCGCTCAAATTCCTATTCCTACACAAAACACAAGCTCCTGCTGCAGCTAACAAATAAGATTTATTATATAAGACCACGTAGTCCTACGTCACCATTGCGTACAACCCCATAGGGCTGTCCCTTGTAGTTTTTAAGAAATTCTAAGAACCACTATATCGTTTTGCTATGGAGTGGCTACACATCTCTTTTGCTTTACGTCCAATTTTCGTCCAATTTAATATTATTAACTGAAACTTTATTTGTAGATGTTTAACTTAATATATTAGTTTAAAAAAAAAACCTTAAGCCATATTGTCCCCATTTGTGGTCAATCGAAAAAAATCGAGTTATCGTCCAACGTAAGTTGAGGCGAAAGGATAAAAAAAACCAAAAATTGCAAATGCAGCTTAATAAGACGATTGGATTGAAGCAAAATTTTAAATTTTTGCTTCACAGTGCTCTAAAGGTTCCTAATTGAGTCTTGATTAGCCTTTCAAAAATTGAACTAATTTAGTAAGAAACTGACTTTGCACAAACCATTTGAAGTTTATATGGAAATAACTATGGGATTTTTTTTCCGTTCATATCTAAAGTGTCACCATATCGCTCTACTTTAAAAATAATAGCTATGCTTCTAGGTGATTGTTTCAGCTACAACTTTGTCCAGGATCACTTTTCACTAAAAGGTTAGGCACAACAGTTATTAATGATTCAAGTTACTGATTTCTTATGAATATGCTCAATCAACTGTTCAGCAGGCAACAATAGTGTTTCTGGCGCCAAAACACAAACACAAAAAAAATCGTTTTCTACTATGTTACACTGCAGAGTACAGTGTTGCCCACAAAACAACTGCTTGATCATGCCCAGGCATGGAAAAACATATGCATTCATTTCATACATTCATTTCCCTCTAACTTTTTTAATCAACAGCATTTCGCAAAATAATGTATAGTTCTTTTGTAGATTTTGTTATAAACTACAAGTTTTGCTCATAACTCAAATCTGTATCTCTTATGTATCCCTAAACTAGAGCGGGGAGAACTTGTTACTGTTTTTCAGTGAAATATTCACTGAAAAACAGTAGTGGCATCTGTTCGCTCTGCTTCGTCATGCATAAGAGATACAGATTTGACTGATCATACCATAAGATCATCAGTCTCTTAAACAACTAATAGGGGAAATGGCTCTAATGTTGGCCTATGGATCCAAGATCGCTATGGTCTGCTATTTACCTATTTTATCTAGATGAATGCATCATTGGGATGGTACTAATGGATATATTTTCGCTATTGAAAATTTAGTCAACTGCTGAATTTATGTATGGGCTCAAATTAGGGGCATTTAGGTCGACATTACATCCATTTCCCCTATCTATTTAAATTGGCTGTTGTAGCTGGAAAAATTTTACATAATCATAGTTATAGAACTTTTTAACAAAGCAACATGGAAAAAGGCTACAAGTCAATGAACAAAACGTTTGGTATTCCCATAGTAATTTCCATATAAACTTCAAATGATTTGTGCCAAGTCAATTTCTTACCAAATGAGTTTAAATTTTGGGAGGCTAATCAGGACCCAATTTGGAACCGCTGAGCACAATTTCAAATTTCGCATCAGTCTAATGGTTATGTAATTTTACTAAATGAAAATGCATTCAAAGCCTTTCAAACCAATCTTTAGCTCCGTTAAATCAGAAATGTCCAATGATAACTTCTACAACATGAACAACCCCATCGACCAGCAGCATAAACACTCGCACACGTAAACTTGACTTCTGCCTGTTTTTCATCTTCCACACACCGCCGCTGACTTACCCCATTGTGCCTCAGAACTTCCGGATCCGCCAGTACCAGCCGGAACCACAGCAGCCAGAGCGTGTTGTTTGAGGCGAACGACGCAAACAGGTTCATGTGTAGCGTAATGCGAGCGCATTTCAGCGACCTTCAATTAAAGGAAAGGGCAATTGAATGGAAGAAAAGTATAAAGCAAGGGTGGAAACATTGGTTTCAAATGAAAGCTGAAAGACGGGGTGCTGAAAAGCAATTTGGTTATGCAGGGGATGAAGAAAGGTCGTCTGTAGGAAGCAATCAGTAGTGCCAATAAAGCGAAGGGAAGGGTTCTGTAATTTTACGAGAATTTTTTTTCACGGATCGTTTTTCATGGGTTGGAGGAATGCCAGCCCCTAGTCGGTTTGACCCAGTCGCTATCAGAACCAGACGGTATCCCGGGTGCCACTTGTTGTGAAATTTCGGATGCCGGGTCAGCGGGCTGGGCTATTTTGGTGGCATTAAGAGGAAAAAGGGTTGCATTTCCCGGGAATGGATATTTTGTTTAACGATGAAGAAAGGATCAAATTGAATTGGCTGGAATTCGGGCAATATGTTTTGATAATTGGAATATTTAGCTTACCTAAAGTAACTTAAAATACCAAGCGATAGGATGAGGGCAATCAGCGAAATCGAGTATCCCGTTTCGTATATGGTTCTCACTTGTTGCCTCCACTGGATCCGCGCAGACATGTATGAAAGTTCAAATCAAAATAAAACACAATCCCGTACAAGAGTCATGCCAATTACCAACAAACTGCAACCGACTTACCTCGAAATCATCATAATTGATGCAGGATGTGTAATTGGACCAGGTTTTGTTCGTCGTTGGATGCCGGAACCATTCCCCGTACTCGTCGCAAAATTTGTGTGCAAACCCTGTTAGAAAATTCATCACCGAAATACAAAGGGAGATACATTATTCCACTTTAGTTAGTTCCCGAAAACAAGAAAACTTTTCTTACTAGTAGGATCAAATCCAGTGATGAACGGCGGACACAGTGCATATGCAGAACTTCCCGCCGCCGCATCCGGCCAACACTGCCATCCATCCCAGGTCCCCCGGCAGAAGAGTCCTAACAGGGTGAGGAAATGGAAAGTTCGGAGATTACGCAATTAGTATAATGAACAGAAAGTTCTCGGTTGGGTTCTTTCGCATTCGACAAGGGTGTAATATGCAATTAGTGGAAAAGTGTTGGACAACTTTGGAGAATGATGTGTGTCACTATTATGTGTTGCACTAGTTCAAAAGTGGGGCCTCAGATTGCTTAGTCAGTAAAGGCACGGTATTACCAAGCCGGAGGCGGCGGGATCGATTCACACGAGTCACACAGTATACAAATTCATGCATTGGTGTTGGCATAGAAAGTTCACAATTAATAATTGTGGAAGTGCACCAATAACACTAAGTTGAGAGCTGCAGAAAGGCTCTCTTCTACAGAAGCGTAAAAATCCTAGAAGAAGAAGCCGTTCAAAAGTGCTGACGTAATTTCGTTAACGGGCTCTCGAAATGCCACTCACGTTTCTCTGTTGTAATACAACTTGTTCCACTTGAGTGCTGCATCTTTGAGTGCAATTATTTACCACATGCATTTCGGAAGAGAAATAATTTATGATTCCACTTCGAGGGGAAAATTTTTGGGCACTGTTTTCGGAAAGAGCAATTACTTCTTTCAAACTTCTATAGTGAAGCCATTGCGAGTAGTTGTAGAGAAAGTTGCTCGTTTGTACTGAAGTAAGAGAGAAAATTGAAAGTAGAAGGATACAAGTAGATTAATTGTTTTGGACGTTTACTGAAATTATGTCAGCAATTCCAAAGAAAAAAGTTCGTAACAATCGGTTATATTGTTTCTTATTGAAAATTATTAGACCCGTTTTATTTTATGTTGCTATTAGGGTGCCCCCTTCCGAGGTAGGGTGAACCAACAAATTCATCCAATATAGTTTTTTTTTATCATAGGGTAGAGCACTACTTTATCGTAACCGCCCATTTCCGTTCTATCGATCAGAAAAGATCAATAATATCAATGATTTCACCGTGCACAAATTAATAAAAGGTTTGCTCCGATTAAATCCTATTAGAACAAAAGAAGCGCTCCTAGCGAATCCCCTTTTTCTACGTTTATCCGTAGGACGAAGAACATCTAATGGCGTTTCAATGTGTTCGGACGGAATTGAAACTCGTTGGACGAATTTAGAATCAAGAAGCAGTATTAGATTTTAAACAATATCTCAAACATTTGTTACTCTTTATCAAATCCAATGGTACGTATGGAAAGGTGAATAAGTTTAGAAGTCATCTTTGACACAAATATTCTATTTATTGTTCAAATCCGGTCAAAAAAAGAGAGGTAAAACGCGGGTTGTGCTTAGCAGGACAGCAAAAATATGAATATTTTTAACTTTGATAATGGTTTTACATTGAAAACATTGATTTTAATCGATTTTGGTGGTCTCGGGACCAAAGGCATAATTGCATTAATATTTTTTCAGGAAAATTTCGACTCTTTACACAGCATATCAATAATCCAGTGGAGTATGTTGTCTCGTTTGTAAACTATATTTTTGTTCAAAAATATTTTTTTTAATAATCGAGGCACATGGCAGTTTATGAGTAAAACTCAAAATTTTTCAAGAAAAAATGTAACATGCAAATTTGGCCTTGATCTCGAGATCATGAAAATCGATTACAATGAAGGTTTTTCAATACAAAACCATGATTAAAGTTCATAAATATATGTCTGCTAAAAACTAGATTAAATATAAAGACAGAGAGTAGTATTAACAATTTCCATTTAATCCTACTTTCTTAATTACTTATGCTTGACCGATACGCGTATTTCGTCTACAATGTGCAGATTTCTTCAGTGTCTTGTACTGGTACTCGATATGAAAAAAATATGAATATAATATGTTCGATAAGGAAAAAAAATGCCAATTCTAAGATCTACTCTAACTTATTTATATTGATGGATAACAGTTGAGAATCTAGCACACACCGAATTGCTGCTTAAAGCCTAGTAGTACTCAGCTGAAAATAAAACGGAAAATTTATTTTTGAGGATTGCTCCCAAAAGTAAATTTGACAGCTGTTTTTTGAGAACATAGCAAGGTGTCGTTTAATTTTAAAATCATCAATAATTATGAAGTGCTTTGAGTGTGTTGGTTTATTTCCTTTTAATTCCGTTATAATTGCTTATCTTAACACTGAAGAATCCATCTTTTATCTACGATTTATATATATATTGTTATATCCTAATCAATAGGTATTAAAAATCAGCGGTATCCTGCCATGTCACATTAACCTAACCAGGTACCTAAATTTAGTCTCCAACAGGTAGATGCATGCTGCGATTTGAGGTTTTAGGTAGCATGCTTAAGAGTCTCGAGTATCCGTTTCCTTGATCTCTATTAAGCAATGTTGATGGATTATGTTTAAATATTTCTTAACTTTCTGCTACGTCTAGTTTCCAATACGAAGATACACTCCTCAGGATATTGATGTTATCCTTTGTCAAATTTAGCCCCTTTATAAAGGTATGTACCGCAAGCTTGGATTAAAATTCATAATGAAGTTCTTTATCCATCTCTTTGTTAGCTTTTTTACCTCTGCGATGTGTTCCTTAAACCTTGTTTCCAAAGTCCTTTTCGTCTGACCAATATAAGAGAAGTTGTAGACTCCGGCTTTTCCTAAGACATTTATTAAATCTTTTTTTGATCCTAACAGTAACTTCCGCTGATTTGTCCTGCTGCTGAATAATAAATCTAGGCCAAAAATTCTAATCTTCGAACTGAATGGTTTGGTAATGTTTTTTGTCGAACATCACCGGTACCCGTTTTAAACCCTCAATTACTGGTGTAAGAGTTGTCAAAGTACGCCTAAAATGATCCCTTGTTCTTTCATCGATTACTGCTTGAATTGTCGATTACTGCTCTTAGTATTTGTTGGTTTCCTATAGATTTCGAAATTGAACGAAGACGTTGCCCTGTTGATGAGAAGATCTTTGTTTTCTTTCTCTTCTTCGTGAGTAAATTTGATGTCCTTGTAAACGTTGCTTATGGCCTCCAAAATTTTTGATAGATCTTCTCTTTTGACAATTCTAAAAATGTCATCATATTTTTTAGGATAGCCATGGGCATGTCACATAAAAATGGAGAAAGCGGATTGCCCATAGAAGCACCTTTAGTTAGTTTTTAAAAATTTCCTCTGAAAATGAAATAATTTTCCTCCATACAAAGACGAGTAAGCTTGAGATATGACCGAACTTTGTTTTTCCAAGTAGAATTCTCACGTTGCTTCAGAAGCCAATCCTCTAAAAGGCAGATGGCTTCCTTTACTGGTACACTCGGAAAAACGATACATTTTCTTGAGTAATTTCTTGGGTTTTCACGTTCGAAATTTGTTGATCAGTGTATCCTGGAGCTCTTGATTTTTTTTGACAAACTATTCCTATCATTTTCAACGTGGGGTAGGGGTGCTTGCACTTGAATTTTTTCGCGTCGTTCCGCTGAATTATCAAATCTTTGTTGTTGAACGTATTGTCTAGCGATCGAAATCCTTTTTCGTTCATTTGGCTGGTTTTCCACTGGTAAATAATAACTGTGCTTAAAGTATGTAGAACACAATATATCAGATTAAGTATAAAGTACATGTCATGATTTGGACTCCAATTCAAACAAGCAATTGCTGTTCAATTGAGTAGTGCAGAAACTGAGACCAATAAAAATAAAAATATCCATTGAGGCCTCGTCTATCTATGGATAATATCAAAACCGAGATTAAACTGTGTCACAAATGTTCTATTCACCTGCCCGGTAGATCAATATGAGTGCTACTTTAGTCAAAAACAGAGAAATTCAATTGTGAACTCGTTGGCCAATTTAAAATGCAGGGAATAACATTCCAACGACTTTGTTTGCAACTTTTAGCAGAGAATCTGAATGCTCGCTTTTATAAATTCTGACTCCATCTAACGAACTACTTTTAAGGGAGTTGGTGTCTTAACCCTAATCTTATCACTTATAGGTGTTAGATTTAATTTTTGGAATTTCTTAAGAAACGCTAAGTCTTTGCTAAATCCTACACCTTAGGTTTTATTATTATTTTATTATTATTATTATTATTATTTTTGTTTGTTCTTATTATCATTGTCCTCAAGTGATGATCAAAGTTGTGACCAAGAGAATTTTCAATTAAATATCATTAAATGAAACCAAAATATGGAAAATCAACCACAACAACGACTAAACTATTGAAAATAACGACAGATTACATCGTAGTCGTTAGAGTGTTTTAAGACTGAAAAACCCGTTAAACAAAGCAATTCCCCTCAAGTCCGGGTCTTCACCATCATAAATTTTTAAAGATATTTTAGCCAAATAATTCCATGACAGTCGTAACTATATCATTTGTGAATATTTCAACGTGCTTAAATTGTTTTTCTTGCTAAAATGTGAATGTGAATGAAAATTGAGATTGTTTTAGCTTAATCTCACTCCACTTACGGTATCTCAAATGTTATTCATCTTTAAAAAAATGTCTTATACTTGATATTCTTTTGACTATTAACATAAACCATTTTGGCTGGTTTTTTGCTACCTAGACATTGATAAACTGCTGATTACTCATCCTTATAATTCTTGGGATTCGAAAAATACTTTTAAAGGGTTGATGTAGGCATTTTTTTTAACTTCCTGAAATTTATTTAATCTTCCCCTGGAATGTTCTAGCCCATAAATTATTTTCCGATTATTACCTACACTCGAAAGGCTCTTCCATTTTATCTGGACAGTTGTGTTTTATCAACTTCCCCGATACTTCAGGGATGCTTCCAGAGTTTTAATACGGTTCCATTCCAAACTGCAGGAACTTTTAAGAAGTTCTGAAACTGGGGAAGTTTCATGTCCTGTAAGGGTATGTTTCGATAAATTAAAGATAGTTTCGTTAACATCTGTAAAAATTTGAGAACTTCTGTATGCTATGCTATTTTTTATAATAGCAGAACTTTTTTAATTTCTGGACTAAGTTAAAAATCATTGCATAAGACATCCAAAAGCATCTATGGGCTAGCAGAAC